ACGATCCGTCTCTGGGAACGGATTAGCATCGTAAGTCGAGGCCCCATTGTATATGTATGTATTGCGCGGTCGAAGGGTTAATCTAACATATAATTTTAAGAAGGTAAGTTCTAGCAAAATTTAAAAAAAAAAATTTACAAGTGCATTGTGAGAGAGTATAAAAAAATACATTGTGTAAGAAATTTGATAAAAAAAAAGTAGGTACAGTACATTAAAGTAAATTTAAGGGTCGTCCACAGATACAGTTCAGCATAATTTGAGGATTTTGCGGGATATTATTTAGCAAACTTTGTCTATAACATGATATAAGATAACAGCAATGATTACAATGGTGAAGTTGTATGGCATAGGTACATACATTGGGGGAATAGGGCAGCACTAGATACAGTGTGAGTTTCAAGCACCAGATAGGAAACTATGAAGATGAAATTAGGTACTTTTTTTTTTTTAACAAGGCAAAAGTTTGACAGCTTTTCAATTCATTAGGGAGTGAGTTCCATATACTAGGTCCTTTTATTTGCATAAAATGTTTACACAGATTCAGTTTGACTCTGGGGATCAACGAGAGATTTATTTCTGGTGTGGTGATTTTGTGTTCTATTGATTCTGTCCAAGAAGAATTTCAGAACAGGGTTTGCACTTAAGAACAGGGTTTTGTAAATGTAATTGACACAAGAGAATGTGTGGAGCGAGATTATGTTTAGCATGTTTAGGGAATTAAACAGGGGGGGGGGGCTGAGTGTTGTCTGAAAGCCGAGTTTGTTATTGTTCTGACAGCAAGTTTTTGCTGGGTGACGATGGGCTTGAGGTAGTTTGCAGAGGTTGAGCCCCATGCACAGATACCATAAGATAGAGATATATTAGCGCATAGTATAGTGAGAGGAGAGCAGAGTTTGAAACATAATATCTGATTTTAGAGGGTATACCAACCATTTTTTAGACTTTCTTGGTTGTGTGTTGTATGTGGATGCTGAAGTTGAGTCTCTTGTCTAAGTATAGGCCAAGGAACTTTCCATAATTTTTATTGCTAACATTGTCTATCCGAAGCTGAATTACATTTGTTGATTTGCTTCCAAACAAGATGTAGTAGGTCTTTTCTATGTTTAGTGTGTTGACATCCATAAGTAAACTTTGTTTAGTTCATTGTTTACAACATTATTTAGTGTGTGTGTGTGGGTTGGGGTCTGAGTAGATGAGGTTAGTATCGTAAGCAAATAATACAGCTGTAAGAATGTTGAAAGACATTAGGCAGATCATTGATGTATATAAGAAATACGAGAGGACCTAAATGCTGCCCTGTGGCACCCTTATGGTAAATGGTAGAGTGGGAGAGGTTATTTCATTGATTGCTACATACTGGTGTCTGTCACTAAGATAGCATCCAATATAGTTCAGGGCAAGGCCTCAGATTCCATATTGGCGGAGTTTAAGTACGAGGTGATTATGGTTAATAGTATCAAAGGCCTTTCTCAGGTCAATGAAGAGTCCAATCGAAAACTCATTTTTGTCAAGGGCTGAGTAGATTAAGTCAAGCAGACTAACAATTGCATCATTGGTACTCTTTTGGGAGCGGAAGCAAAACTGGCAGGGACTTGGTATGTTGAATTTTACGAGATAGGAGTAGATCTGTTTGTAAATCATTTTTTCAGATAGTTTTGATAATATAGGTAGATTTGATATTGGTCTGTAATTGTTTATGTATGCTAGACTGACTCCTTTATGAACTGGCATTACTCTTACTTTTTTAAGGATATCAGGGAAGGTATGACACTAAGGGATTTGTTGAACAACAAAGCTATGGGTGGCGCAAGGGCATGGGAGACACTCTTGTATACCATGGATGGTATTTCACTAATGTTCCCAGCTTTGGTTTTCAGTGAATGAATGATGGACACAACATCTGTATGGCTAACTGGTGACAGAAGAGAGTTTGGGTAGCTGCCTGAAAGATATGTGGTAACATGTGTCTGAGTCTGTAGGATTTTTTCTGGCAAGGTTAGCAACAATTGATGAAAAAAAGCTATCAAATTCAGCTGCCATTTCTAGATCTGTTGCAGGCGTATAGCCATCCTTGGAGATTTTTATCTGGTTATGTGAATGTTGTTTAGATCCTAGGATGTTAGAGTGGCTCTCCATGAGCTTTTCATGTTGCCTTTTGCTTCTTTGAATTTACTCTCATAATAGGAGAGTTTTGCTTTTTTTAATATACTGATAAGCACTGATGAGTACCTCTTAACTACTTCCTTTGCAACTAGGCCAATCCTAAATTTTTTTCATATTCATATTTCTTGTCGATTGCTTTGAGTATTCCATTTGTGAGCCAGGGATTGTTTAACCTTTTGTCAGTTACTTGCATGGTGAGGAGAGGACAATGAGTGTTGTGAAGGATTTTGGAAAGGAAGAGGTTAATTAATGAACTTTTATCATGATTATTATTATATTCAGTCCCAGTTTATATTGTGGAGTACATTTGTGAGATTGTCTATTGTTGCTTCGTAAAAGTGCTAGCAGGATTTGAGTGAAATTGGGTAGATTTGGGTCATTTTATGGACCGCTTCCGACAACACTGGCGGTGGAGACAGCTATGGCAGTAAACACAATTCTCGGGTTAAAACAACAGTAATCTCACCGAGAGCCCTGGAGTACTGGAGACGTTGGAGATGTGAACATGTTGGTGTGAAGGAGAGTGTCCAGGAGGCCCTGAGCGCAGCAGCACACGCCCGCAGACCTGCCATGTTTACCACACCAGGCCGCCAGGGACCCCACGCTCACTACACCACGGATCCCTTCAACAATAATAATAATCATTTATTTATTTATTTATTTATTTATATACAAGAAGATACATTGGGTTTGTGAGAATACATAGCATGGTAATTTATAATCTTGTAGAGCCCATTATGTGCCTCTGTAACCCTTTCCACTACCGCCCACAAGATGGGTATGGGGTGCATAATAAATGAACTAAACTCAACTAAAACCTTGTAAAGCCACTAGTACGCGCAGCGTTTCGGGTAGGTCCTTAATCTAACAGATAATTTTAAGTAGGTAAATTCTAGCGGAATTAATAAAATGATAACAGATACATTGTATTACTCATTATTACACATTATTACTCATTATGTATTACACATTATTGTATTACTCATTACTCATTACTCATAGAATTACTCATTATTGCTATCTAAGATAATTAGACGAGCCAAAACTAAATACTACGAAGATAAATTTACCCAAATAAAGAGCAACATTAAACAAACATGGAGAACAATTTCACAAATATTGGGATCAAAGAAGTCCTTAAATAACAAACCGACTCTCCTGTCTAATAACGATGGTCAGCTTTCAGCCTCTGATTCTGCTATTGAGTTCAATAGGTTCTTCTCTTCCATTGGTTCATCCCTTGCTAATGATATTCCATCTTCCAGTACTGACATTAAGGACTATCTTACAGGGAACTATCCCCAGTCTCTGTACCTAAAGCCTATTAATTCCATTGACGTCAATGAGATAATCCTTTCCCTTAAAACCAAGTCTGGTGCCCTTGAGGAGATACCAACTTTAATCTACAAAAAAGCCTCCAGATCTTTAGCCCCTGCTATTGCTTTGCTCTTCAACAAGTCACTTGAACTCCAAACCTTTCCAGATATTCTAAAAAAAGCGAGAGTAACGCCTGTCCACAAATGTGGTGATCTCACAGATGTTAACAACTACAGACCTATATCAATCCTGCCAAACTTGTCAAAAAATTTTGAAAAACTAATCTATAAGCAGCTTTACTCATATCTAGCCAAACTCAATATACTTAGCCCTTGCCAATATGGTTTCAGGCCCAAAAAAAGCACTAACGATGCACTTATTAGTATGCTTAACTCGATTCATACAGCTCTTGATAAAAATGAGTTCCCTGTTGGGTTATTTGTGGACCTGCGTAAAGCTTTCGATACTGTCAACCACCAAAACCTTCTTCTTAAATTACATCATTATGGTGTCAGAGGACACTCCCTACAATACCTCAAATCCTACCTTACTGACAGGCTCCAATGTGTTTCTGTGAATAATACAATTTCTCCCACCCTACCCATCAACATTGGTGTTCCCCAGGGCAGCATACTTGGCCCTCTCCTCTTTCTCATCTACATTAATGACCTTCCAAATGCCTCCCAACACCTCAAACCAATCCTATTTGCTGACGACACAACCTTCATTTACTCCAGTCCTGATCCCCTTGCTCTAAATGCCACAGTAAATACTGAGCTAAATAAAGTCCATCTGTGGCTAACTGCCAACAAACTCACCCTTAACATTGACAAAACTTTCTATATTCTGTTTGGCAATAAATCCTCTAATCAAATAAATCTCAAAATTAACAATACCCAAATTTGTAACAAATTAGATGGCAAATTCCTTGGCATTCTCATTGGCCACAAGCTGAATTTCCAGGGACACATTCTAAACATATCAAAAAAAGTTTCAAAAACTGTGGGCATTCTTTCTAAGATCAGATATTATGTACCACGCCCTGCCCTGGTGACTCTCTATTACTCCCTTATCTATCCATATCTCAACTATGGTATTTGTGCTTGGGGCTCTACTACCCAAAATCACTTACGTCCTCTAATTACTCAACACAAAGCTGCTATTAGGACAATATCCAATTCTGGCCCCAGACATCACTCGGTACCCCTACTCAAATCTCTGAATATGTTAGACATTAAGTCACTGCACATTCTCTCATGTGTATTATACATATATAAAACGCTAAACTATAATGCCAATCCTGATCTCAAAAGCTTCATAGAAGGTTGTAACAGAACCCATGAGCACCACACCAGAAATAAATACAGTTTTGATATTCCTAGAGTACGACTTAATCAAACCAGAAATGCTCTACAAATCAAGGGGCCCATGCAGAATGTGGAATGACCTTCCCAACCATGTTAAAGACAGTACCTCTCTCAACCAGTTTAAGTTAAAAACGAAGCTATACCTAATAAATTCCCTGTAACCTACCTTACCCCTCTATTGTCAACCCATGTATGTTTTTTTTTTTTTTTTTTTTTTTCAAATCAACGCTGTTTTAATGTAATTTTCTGTAATAATTTGTAATTGTATTTGTGCTGTTTTTTCAACAATGTTCCCCCCTCTTTTACCTCTATTTTTATTTGTACTCAACGCATTTTTTTCTTTTTACCCATTAGTTTTAAGCTTTAGTCAGTAGTGTTTTTACCTGCCCGAAACGCTTTGCGTAATAGTGGCTTTAGGCATTGTATGTACTAGCTCTTATCTATAAAGCCAACAAACTTTGTAAAATCTCTTTATGTATGTACCTTTGCCTAAATAAAAAATATTATTATTATTATTATTATTATTATTATTGTAAGAAAGAAAAAAGATGAGATGAGATTAGTAGTGTAACGTGCGGTTATGTTACGTTGTTGGGTTGATTAGATATACACTGTTTAGTGAGTTTCATATTTATTTAGTAGTTCTGGATACAGCAGTGTTTTTAGACGTTGATACGAAGCCTGGAGCAGAGCTGAGTGAGGCCGAAGTCGTGGAGCTCTATGCGGGAGAGCGTATAGCATAGCGGCTCGATTGGGAATTGCGAGTGTCTGAACTCGGGGAGCGAGAGCATTGTAGCTGGATGCGATCGTAGTCTGCTGCCTGATCTGTGTCGAAGTTGTTGCGTCTTGGGTCGATTAGAACTACTCACGCTGAGTACTACATTCTTGACTGGAGATTGTACTGTCCGCTATTCATCAAATCGCTTGCATATATGGTGATTACACCTCAGCTCCCTCCAACAAGGTGAGAAGAGTATTACCTGTAATTGGGGAAAGGATTGTAGCTTCTGAAATTAGTGCTAATTATTTATGCTATTAAGATAATGAGATAATGGAGCGAGTATAAGATTTACTCGCTACAGTAGGTATATTAAAGCACATTGGTATATTAAAGCTCTGATTGATTGCATTGACAGCTTGATTGGTAATTTAAATGAAGATTAATAGGCACCATACAGCAAATTGAAAGCACATATAAGAAGACAGCAATCATCACAATGGTAAAGTTGATTGGATTAGGTACATGAAGTATGGGAGATTGGGTAGCACTAGATACAGTGCAATTTTAAACCACAAGGTAGAAAACTATGAAGATGAAATTAAGTACTTTTTAGTTTTGTTTTTGAATGATGCAAAAGTTGGACAGCTTTTCTGTCCAACTTTTAGAAAAGGTAGGCAGACCTGCAGACCTTGTCCTGTAGGTCTTTTTTCAATTCATTAGGGAGTGAGTTCCATTGACTAGGTCCCTTTATTTGCATAGAGTGTTTGCACAGATTAAGTTTGACTCTGGGGATATCAAAGAGATATTTATTTCTGGTGTGGTGATAATGGGTCCTATTACCTCTGTCCAGGGAGAGTTTCAGAGCAGGATTTAGATTTAAGAACAGGGTTTTGTAAATGTAGTTGACACAAGATAATGTGTTAAGTGAGATTATGTTTAGCATGTTTAGGGAGTTGAACAAGGGGGCTGAGTGTTGTCTGAAAGCAGAATTAGTTATTATTCTGATAACAGATTTTTGCTGGGTGATGATGGACCTGAGATGGTTTGCAGTGGTTGAATCCCATGAACAGATACCATAAACTGTCGTCAAAATCAGAGAGGTGGTGGCACTGCTCTTTACTACCACCAAGAACTAACATGCTTAAAAGTAATTAGAATTAGAGACTGCTGTGGGGAGTATATCTTCGCAAGCTTCAGAGTCAAGGGTGCCGAGTCTGTCCTGTCTGTGGGTGCAGTCTATAGAATTCCTAACACTGATGTGTCCGAATTCAACTCAAACCTTAGAAATCTAATACTCGATAACAGACTGAACAAAAACCATCTAATTATCGCAGGGGATTTTAATATTGACCTCTGCGAGCCTGAACACCCTACTGCTGTTAGCTTCCTCAACTGTATGAATTCCTGCTTCCTCATACCCTTAATCACTAGACCAACTAGAATCACTGATAGTACTGCCACATCCACTAGATCACATCTGGACAAATATAACCTCTCCGCTTACTTCAGGTATAATCACCAATAGCACTACAGACCATTACCCCACATTTCTCTTAACTAACATTAGCAAACCACCTGTAGAGTCAAGGGAGTTAAGTTTTAGGCTGCACAATGAAACTGCTATACACAATTTTATAACTGCTGCTGATAATGTCAACTGGGAGTCCGAGTTAGGTAACATAGGGGACATCAACCTAGCAGTGCAATCTTTTCTTCAAAAAACTCTTAGCCTTTATAACACCCACTGTCCTATGCTTACAAAACAAGTCACAACCAAAAGGCTTAACAATCCCTGGCTTACAAAGGGAATACTTAAATCCATTAATAAGAAACATGACCTTGAGAAGAAGTATAGGTTAGGAATTGTCTCCAAAGATTTCTCAAAGAATTACTCGTTATTGCTATCTAAAATAATTAGACGAGCCAAAACTAAATACTACGAAGATAAATTTACCCAAATAAAGAGCAACATTAAAAAAACTTGGGGCACAATTTCACAAATATTGGGATCTAAGAAGATTTTAAATAATAAACCAACACTCCTGTCCAATAACGATGGTCAGCTTTCAGCCTCTGATTCTGCTATTGAGTTCAATAGGTTCTTCTCTTCCACTGGGTCATCCCTTGCAAATGATATTCCATCTTCCAGTACTGATGTTAAGGACTACCTTACAGGTAACTATCCACAGTCTCTGTACCTAAAGCCTATTA